ACCGAAATATTGACCGCCTGTTAGATTGAACGTAAGACAGTATACAGATGTATTTTTCAGAGGGTTTCAATCCCTCTATGTGCCACCCAGAACAATCAAAAATGTCACATGCATCAATTTTTAGAGTGGAAGTTACACCTAGATCAAAAACCAATTCGGGTGTAGCCAGATCAATTGCTCTTTTATCACAGTGTGCATGGGATTTGCATTCCCACCACAAGAGGGGTACCACAATAACTATGGTAATGAGGCCAGAAACACAGAGAACAATGCCAGGACGACCACTTAAAAAATTCGAAATGGTCATTTTGTTTGCTGTTCCTAGCAATATCTGTTTCCTGAAAACTGTCACACTAAATTTAGTCCTCCTTTGACTGTGGCTCAAGCAATTTGGATGCCAAATCAGCCCTGATCTGACTTACTGTGTGAACAGTGGGATCCTCTGCTGGTGCGCAGTGTGTTTTATGGATCCAGTTACTTAGCTTGTTATCAGTGAGCCACAGTTTAACACAGTGTGTGGTGCTTTCTGCTACCTTGAAGGGTCCTCGTCATCATGGTTCGAACCAGTGAAGCTTGTGCACCTTGCAGTAGACCCAGCTGTCCACAGCAGCTTAGGTCGGCTCCTCAGCTTGGTCTCTGCAGAGGATTTCAACCACCTGTTCAGAGAGACTCATCACGGCGCTGTTCAGTCGCCTGACATATTGACTTATGTCAGCATGCTGCAAAAGAAGAGGTGTTGAATCTCTAGGCATAATAGTTAGAGGACAGGGCATTTTTCTTCCTGTCAGGATTTCATGTGGGCTCACATTTAGTGATTTGGTTGGAGTGGACCTGAGGTTGAACAATACGGTAGAGCTTCAACCCAGTTAAGTTTCTTATCTGCGCAGACTTTTACAAGGCCTTCTTTAATGGTTCTGTTTGCTCTCTCAACCAGCCCTTGTGAGGCCGGATGATAAACAGCTACAAACTTATGTTTGATCCCAAACATCTGCTTAACCATGCGTAGATCTTCATTCGAGAAGTGTGTACCATTATCAGATCTGATTATTTCTGGTATACCAAACCGAGGGATTAATTCCCTTGTGAGCCATTTGATTACCTCTTTACCAGTTTCTGATTTTGTGGGAGAAACCTCAACCCATTTAGAAAACAGATCCACACATACCAGTAAAAACCTTTTTCCTTCAACTCTTTTATCTGC